GGGGAGGCCGCAGGCCCGTGCGGGCGCTGGCGGGACGGGAGCTGCCACCACCTTTTCCCGCTCCGCGGCGGCCCCGCGGGCACCTCCGCACGCGCCCGTTTGCTCCAGCCCCGCTCCGGCAGCTCCGTGTCCTGCTCCCGCCGCCAAGCACCAAACCCATCTGGGATTTGTCACGTCTTATCGTGAGGAACGCGCGGACCGTGGCGAACCCAGCCTACCTGAGACGCCTTGAATTGACGTTTATGGCAACGAATCAACATGGCCGCTCTGGATAGCCCCATGGTTGTGTTTGACTGGATTCAAGAAACGTTTTGGGTTTTGGTTTTTGCAGAGGAAAATCTCCAGCACAGTCAACTGGATACAAGGAAGGCTCCTTTACAGGCCTCTCCACAGGGCCCTCACCCTCAGCCTCCCCAAGAAGCAGCCTTGGCTCCATCTGCAGCCTGTTGAGCGCTGGCTCCCTGGACGAGGCCTTTCCTGTTCCCGTTTCCTGCCCCCAACCTTAAAAACCAGGAAGGACAAAACCCCAGCGGCGCAGCTAGGTGCCAGGCAGGCGGCTCACGCTAAATACGCCTCTTAGTTTGGCAACAATCAACTTCAAATTAGACCCCCAGCTACTTCGTGTACGCGAAGATGTGGATGAGAGCGCAGCTCTGCAGCTTGGGAAACGCAGTCATAGCTAAACCCAACGCTCCAGAGCCCAGGAAGCAGCACAGCAACACGGGAGGGGCCTAAAATTTGTCGGCAGAGCAATTTCAGCGGAGCACTTGATGAAATGCACTGCACATAGCGTGGAATATTGTTCTGCAAGTGAAAAAACCTCCCCATTTTGCAGCACAAGCTGCGCTCAAAGCAGAAGCCTCCCAAGGCTCCCGGCTTCACACGGGAACCTGGCGGCACCTCCATGTTGAGGGGGAAGGAAAGGTGGCCAAGCAGCCCGCTCAGAGCCGCTGGGCACACAGAGCCCTCCCGCTGCCGTGGGCTGTCACGATTCCCACAGCTCCTCGGGGATTCAGAAGACCCCAACAGCCCCGGAACTCCCACGGCTACGTCCGCGCTGGCGTTTTCTGAGCGCCCGCTAGAAAGGCCCTTGGTGGCATCCCCGGCTGGAGGACTGCGCCCGCGGCGCCCGGACGCCGTTCGCTCCGGTGCGCGGAGCTCCCGGCCCCGCCAAGAGAGCTTTTGTTTCAGGCCCCACGGGGAGGCCGCG